TTCAACATCAAATACACTGATAAAAATCTCGCACCGATCAGGTTAGATTTTTCATTTAGACTTTTTAGAACTTTTTTAGGTGCAAAACAAATTAAAAAAACTTCACCGAAACAAAGACATCAATAATTTTATATGCATCAGTGAAAGAACAGAATACTTCAACAAATACGTTATGGTAGCTGAGCCTATACCAAAGAAAGGTCTTTCCATTGACAGACTACATAGTGCACACAAAAGCATTAGTTTCATAGTATATACAATAAGGTGATACATAAAGTGGCTTGTTAATGCGAGTCTCATGACCAGCAGTCTATTCCTTCATTTTCCAGTGGGCACTTTCTGAAGAAACAGACTTGTAGTTATAGGCACACAGGAGTACAGAGCATACTAATTTGCAAGATGGCAGCATATACCTTTTTTTTTATTTTTTGGATGTTTATTTCTTTAGGCACATTTGAATGCAAAGGATTTTTATATTTTTTTAGAATTTTTTTCTCTTTTAACACAGTGCAAAACCGAATACCCTCATGGGCAACAATCAGTCTGAAAACAACTTTCAGGATATAAGGTTATCTACATTTGAAAGATGAAAAGGAATTCTCAGTGAAAGGGTAGAACATTAATATCGAGGAAATGTTAACTAAAAATTCTCAGATCAATTTGAGATTATTCTATAGTTGCAGGTGTCATCAAGGACTGGTTTGCATTGTGATACAATCGTTAACGTGACCACTCTCTTACGCATGTTGTATCTCTATCTATCTGTAAAGCTATGTTACAGTTGCAGATGGCATGGAAAATAAATAGCCATCTCTATTCAGAGTAAGAAATGCACTTCACATAAATTTGGCTGAGAATACCTTATATACAAAATCCATTAGCTTTAGGTTGGGTTGTATTCTAATTTTAAAGCAGGACATTATATACACAAGAGAGGCTTGCTGTGCTCCTAGTATAGCCTGTGGTAAGACTAAGGCAAAGCAGAATTTTTACTTTGATGGTAGTTTGTTTTGTTTTAAACATATGGCACAACTCTTAAGGAATCAGTCAGCATCAATTGGAATGAATGGAGGCTTCAATGCAAACCCTAGCTTGGCTTAAGGGGGTGGTTTGGGTTTTATGTTGTGTGTTGGGTTTTTTTCTACTTAAAGTTCAGTGACCTACTGATAGTTCATGCAATACCCTTGGGAGCTCAGTTCAGATTATTCCTTTAACTGTATTTTTAAATTATTAAACCCCTCAGTGTACAGAAGGAGAAAAAAAATCATCAAGAGATGTCACTGAAACATGAAAGTAAATTTACCACAAACACACCCCAAGAAACTCTCATTAAATTATTTTACCCCAATACAAATCCTACTGCCCCAACTGGCAGCTTTACCTGAGACAAAGCCTGCAACATCAAGACATGGCTCAAACTACTGCAAACCAGAGCAGCTTTCATATATTGCTGGAAACTCAGACACCACTAAGACATCACCCTATCTCCTCTTCTGCCTCCCAAGCTTTTTTGTAATAATTCAGTAATAACCAGATTCTCAAGCAAAACAAGTTCATCTGGTCTACTTCTGTTTTGCTTGTGCTGGTATTACATTGCCTATGTTTCTAGGGGGGGATGTTTTTTGGTTTTTTGATGGAGGGGGTGGGTTTGGGGTGGGTTTTTTTTTTTGTTTTTTTGGGTTTTTTTTAAATCATATATAAGCATTATAAAATAATTCTTTCATTAGCTCTCCAGATAAATCACTATGAATGTTTTGGTAAAAGCATCATTAGCTGCCTTGAAAAGTTTTCTCTCCTTATTTTTTTTTTTACATGTTATATATTTTTTATTTAATGTCCAGCACCAGGTCTTCAGGTAGTACTGGTTTGTCAGCTGCAAATATAAAGTATATATGTATATATATATATACACACACACATAAAATATCATCCTGTGAAATAACAATTACCAATGTCAGGCACAATTGTTTGCATACATGAGAGCATAATTCAGAATTACACGTGAAAAAAATTGTCATTTTTGTGTCGTAGACTTTGTTTAATCATTGGAATAGCTACATTCAGCTGTCTGATATGCGGACAATCATCTTCAAAGATAACTATGGGAAGGTTACTATATTCATTAAGGTGCTGCTTCAATTAAAATCTTATGAACAAGTTAAAGACACAAATCCTTAAACAGTCCAAAGGTAAATGCATCTATTACCAGGAATCACTGTTTTTCTTTCTGGGATGCCCTTCACCACAAAGACAGGAGGACTGGTTGAATCTGAATTACTTCCTTGCAAGGGCTGAGCCTAGGAAAGCATTCGTGATTAAGTTTGGAAGCTGACTAATTATTCCTTATATTCCAAGACACACTATAATACCCTTCTGTCTGCTGCATACCACTTCAAATCATGCTTATCCAGCTTCACCAGGAAACAATGTAGTGTGGCGGTACTTCTTTTATGTAAGTACAATCAGAATCTGATCCTCTGCTATAAATTGCTCTCCATAAACTGCTTTTTTTACCAGGTCCAGTTTACACTTGAATCAATGTTATGAACTGTTTGGGGATTTGGGAAGTGAAGTATTCATTTAAACCAGTTTGCCTTTCAGCTTATGAGCTTGATGTGTGTGTTCTGTCATAGAGACCACCAAGTTGCACATGCAGTATTTAGAGAGCTCTAATGCTGTTAGTGAATGCAAATTATGATGGTGTAAGCACATAAATGTAACTACAGGGATTCCTGTGCTCCATTGATATTAGCCTACATTCATTTCAGGGCATTCACAATCTTTCTAACACATCTGAAAAACAGCTACTGAACAAATCAAAATGTGCATTTTTTTTCAAGGCATTTAGGAGCCCTCCAAAAGCCCTTAGGTACCAAATCTGAGCACATACACACACACACACACACACACACACACACACTCTTACTGAATACACAAAAAAGACAAATCCTTCAGCACATTCAGAAAAAAATTACACAATAATATGCACCAGTAAAAGGCCTGTTAACTTACAGTGACTGCTTCACATGTTGAGGCTTGCAGAGTTTTCAAGGAATCTTCTCAAACACAGGTAACATCTAGTTTTAGACTTTTAAACTGCATGTATCCTCAGATATGTACATTAAACTGTTGTTATAGACATTATTATGTACACTCACTAAAGAATAGAGTCCTTGACTTGGAGCACAAACTTGCCCTGTGCCTTGCTGCCTTCCCAACTGCTATGTAACTCAATGTCACTACACACAGATTCTGCTTGTGTAACGGGGAGCATGATTAGACATAGGCACTCCTGCATGGCACTGGTTGCACTGGTTCCTATATCTAGTTACTACAGGGTATTCCAATCAACATAATCTAATATAAAGGTTTAAACTATAGTGGTAAAAGAAGCCTCCCTGAACCCTCCTCTAGCACTGTGGCCAGCTGCTGTGGAGCAACCTATGTATGTGCTATGAAACATCATTACTGGCAGGGTGGTCGCTTCCAACCAGTTATTGGAATAGTCCCTGGTCCATGCTAACTCCCAAATTGCACCTGTAAACCAGAAGTGTAGATAGCACAGGCAAAGTTTATTATTAGACTAATAAAATATTCCTGGTAATAATTCCAGTACCCAGCAACATTCCCTGACATGTTTAATTTGAGCATAGAGACAGTCAAACAGCAGCACTGACTCCTACTTTGAATAGCACATAGTATGGATTTCATCAGTCTGTCTCCTTTCATGTCTTACTAAAACTCTCGATGTCAGTGGACCTTTTGTATATTTACAGTTGGTCTGAAGTATCTGTCTAATCCTTATGAAAAAGTTATAAACTTGCATGGAGATCTTCCTGGGCATGCAGTCCCAGAGTCTTCACCATGTCTGAGGCTGATTGCCCAATTCTGGTGTCAAAGGTGAGCTGGCTCCTAACAGTAATTTCTGAGCATACCCCAACAAGAACCAAAGCAAGCCAAGACAATGCAGCGCCCGCTGTTCTGGTTGTGGTGCCAGCCCTCCTACACATGGCTAGGCCACGCTTTTCTGGATGGGACCATCCTGCCTGGCTTTGCCAGTTTTGCACTGGCATGCTCACCCCTTGGTTTGTAGAACAGTAAAGCAAAGGACAGGGGGAGGTTTTCATAAAATAGTGCTGGATCACAGATGTTGGTGAAGACCTTTTTTTTTTTTTTAAACCTGATGATTTCTGTAATCATCTTGTCTGATTTAAGCATAATTATCTATGTTATCACTGTTTGCCATTTTGCCCTCGATTGACACACTGCCAAGAAACAGAGCAGTTTAGCTTTGTAGGATCAGACAAGATAGGATGCATGCAATGCAATTCAGCCATAAGTAAGGGAGCCTAAAAATATGGTCAGTATCATCTTGAGAGGGCTTTGTCTACTGGTGTAAGTCAGCAAGGTAAAATAGCTTTATTCTCAAACAGGGGTTCCTTTCTCCTGTAGGAAGAAGAGAGGCGGGAACCTACCTAAGCTATCAAGGCAGTCACTAGCAGTGCACTTGCACTATGGCACCCTAAGATGACAATCAACTTTTCATTTACACACTCCACCACCCCTCCCAAAAAAAGTCAACCAGAATCGCTACTAAACTGCTTCAAAGTTTCAAGCAAGTAAAGGATTAAGCAAGCTCAGAATTTAGGGTGGATATCAACAAAGGCTACCTCTCATGAAGATACCAGTACGCATGGGTGGTATTGCCTACTAATATATAGTCAAAAGAATGTGCAGTTTAGATTAGGACTTACCCAACTTCCATGCAAAATTAAATAAAACTGATGCAAATTTTAAATCAAATTAGCCTAACAATCCTTGCTGGCTGTCCATAGCAATGAAATGTCTTCCATTTAGGATACGCAATCAATTTAGGCAAGCGCTTGACAAACACTCAAATGGAAAATGCAGATGACTTGTCACTGGAGTGTTCACACAGGTGGCACTATAGACAAAATGAAGCAAGAGCTAGGTAGCACACTGCTGGGTTTCTCACACAATCATATCTGCTGACTTTTGGTTATATTGTATTCTGCACTCACTTTCTCCTCTTCTTTGCCTATATAAAAAGACTGCATGGAATGAGATGAAGCTGATGCAGTTGTCAGCTGGCTCTGGTTCTCCTCTTCCATCGGTGCAGCACTCCTGGCTGCCGGGGCATGCAGTCGATGAGCGTCCAACATCTCCAGCAAGAGATCATAGAGTGGAACTACATTTTTACACTTCATGTTATACAGGTGCTCCATTCCTTTGTTGCTGTAGGTTTTAACAAAACAATGGTTACTTTCCAAATATGCTATAGGAAAAAAAACTATCAGCTAATATCATTTATAAGGTTCATATGAATTCCACCTTGTACAGAACTAACTTATCAGTGCAGTTGCTGTGTGCTCCTGCTAAAATTAGCAGAAGGCAGCAACTTCAAAGAACATTTCAGGCTGCTCATGAGGAAGTTGCCTTCTGAAGGTGGCTCTTTTGCTCTCCTTCGCCTAAAATGTAGCCTAGAGCACATGGACTCCTAATTTAGACACTGTGACCAAGAAAATTGGATGAATCTTGGCATTCCCATAGTAAAACCTTAAATATCAGATCTTTTTCCTAGAAAATACCTCAGCCAATTTGTTAGCAAATACTCACTTGTAATAGCATCCATATACAAATCTATAGAAATGATTCACTTCACTGTGTATCTATCTGGAACTTCCTTAATTGTACAAATTCTTCTCAAGTAAAAAAGCCACATGCACACACCCTTTGACTTTTTCCTGAAGACCTGTATACCAGCCCAGGAGTCAAATCTGCATGTTTCATCTTTAGGAGCTATGGTGTGGTGCTTACTCTTTTATTAATTGAAATAATAAAAATTAAAATCTGTGTAACATCTCTTTTCCCTTCACAAAAATAAAATCTATACTGGTTTTTTGTATGTCATGTTAACACTCCAGCCTCTGAGCAACTACCTTGAAAGGTAATTATGTTTGGGAGAATCATTGTTGCAACTAAAAAGAGTGCCTGACACCTCACCTCTAATTAGCAATGGGCACAGCTCTCTAGATTGGGATTCAGCAGACCTGCATTTGTCCTCACCTATAAAATACACATAATGATCCTAATCTCTTTTCTGAAGTGAATTGCAATCAAGCCACTTGTGAAAAGTGACTACATGGAAGTGATAGTTTTATTAAGCCTTATAGGAGACTAAAGTTTTCAGAACTAGGCTACTGCTGCATTTGTATTCTAATTGGTACTTTTCAAACAGGATGCAAAGAAGAGCATAACATTAAAAGTAGATACTGCTTACAGCACTATCAAAACAGCAAACAAAGTAAAATAAAACTAGAAGCAGTAAATGGGGAGAACATTTACTCCTCTCACACCATAATCCAGCGCACTGTTTTGCACACATGGTTGTACATCTTTATGAAAGTGGACATAAACATATATGGTGTTATATTCTGTAATAGCTCTACACACAGTTTGCACTCCCATCTGTGAAGGAAAAGTGTGTCTGTGTGTATTTGTGAAACCTGCATTGTGTGGGGCCAGTGCAGGAGGGCTGACCACACGCTTGCTCTCACCTCATGTGTCTGATGTGAGAGAGGATGAGGAGGAGCTGAGCTAGTCGTCTGTGTTGCTGCTGCAGAGAAAGACCTGACTTAGCCATCAAATGTATCAGAGTGTCTGTAATTTTGTCCAGGACACGGTGAATGTAGTCTTTCTCTTCCAGAGATTTCAAGGTGCTGGAAAGAAAAGTGTACACACCTGGGGTAGAAAGGAGAAAGAAAACAAAGCACAGACAAAAATTACTTTGATGGAGTCAGATTTGCCCAAGGTCTGTCTTGTGACTGGCCTCCTCAGCTGTGTTAAACCATGGGAGCTGACTGTGCGTGAGCCCTCCTGCTTGCCAGCCAGGTCACTGGTCTGAATAACCCCAGAGCACTGCAAGGCAAAGCAAAGCAGGAGGGAGACGATGCCTCCTCCCTGCCTGGGTCCATCAGAGGTCTGGGCCAGGTGCAGGCAACACCTGCAGCTAGACCTACCCACAGGCTGTACTCCTCTAAGTAGCTCAGCTCCGAAACTTTGAGGAGATTCTGTTTCCACTTGAGAGATCTGGGGTACATACTGACCAGCACAGGCCTTTGGCAGTTTTTGCCCTTTTCTCTGCTCTGTAATGTTTGATTTTTGACGATCTGATAGTCAGTCTAGGACTGAATATTATGTTACCACAAAACATGTAAACAAAATCAGGGTTTGCTTACCCACACTCACCTCAACAAAACCCTCCTAGCCAAGGAAGAGCCTTGAAAGGCGTGCTCCTTCACCTGCAAACCCAACTCTCCTTTAAAGACATGTCCAAAGCAGGCTGTGTAAGTTTAGCCATCTTACTTTGCTTACTGCTGAAAGTGAGCAGCCTGAAGAGCTGAACCACAAGGAAATTTTTCCAGAGATCAAAACACCTTCAAGCTGCTGCAACAGCCCCTCTGAATATCCTGTAAAATCCAGGTATAAGAGCTTTTACCACTACTAATTCTTCGGTGCATGAAGCACATCAGGTTTATAAATGGTAAATTCTGAAGCAGTTTGCATGTTTCTATCTAGAATTTGTCCCGGACAACACCACATAACCAGTGTGAATCAGGTCACAACAGCACTGTGTTGCCAAAAGGCAGCTGTCGCATTCAGCACCAGTTTTTTTAATCTTCTGGATTGAGCCAATAACTCCAAACAGGTCATATTACCAGAGTCCAGTCCTGAGCCAGCAAAAGCTTAAGCTGTACATACAGTGACACAACTAAACTGGCTTGATCACAGTGTGTTCAGTGCCCTGTATCTATAGTGTACTTGACAAATCCTGTGCTTCAGCCCTTCTGCAACAGCTTACAGAGCCAAGAAGAAATTTGGTTTTTGTCCTTGGGAAAAAATGGTTTCTGGAATTACATTTCATTTTGTTTTTCTTTAAAGCAGCATGTATAGCACAATATGCAATGCAGTTAGTGGTACTAAGAAAAAAAGGCAAAGATGCTCTAACACGGACACATACAGAGATATAGACTCTAGCATGTTTGTACTGTTTGTAGCCTGAGGCTATACCGTTGGATTTGAAGATAAGAATATTTTGCTATGCATCTGAACAGTCAGGGAAATTGAAGGGTTTTTTACCACCTTCTTGGCATACCTAACCTCCTCACATCATCTTGGTACTTCGAGGACTTGACACCTAGAACTACTGTAACTTGCAAGTAGGATTTATGAATTTGGGTCTTCTGTACTAAAAAGAAATATAAATTTGGGTTTGTGAATGTCAGTGTGAGTGTCTGTGAGAGGGAGACAGAGTGAGAGAGATACTGCTTTAAAAAAAAACAACAATGAAAGGGTAACTCAAACACAGCACAACTTCTGAAAACCGTCAGTCAGATTTCTTAATTTTGGTAATTAATGTTGCTTCTGATTTGGCATAGACAGATAGTACAATGGCTTCTTTTCTCACAGAGCTTTTTATGATTTTTATTTCTTTCACTGAAAAGAATTCATCAAAGAGAAACAGCTCCTGGGGCTTTTCTCAGCTGACTGACCCTCACGTATTCCTACCGATAATACAAGGCTGTCTAGCTTAGCAGGTGCCTGTACAGGTAAGATTCTTATATATTACTGGCAAAATGCAGTCCATTGGAATGTAAGATTAGTCTCAGAAACCCAAAGTGCCTCCAGAGCAGCTTACTTCAGCCAGAGGATGCTATTGTGCCCCTGTTTCAGAACTTTGAAAACAGAAAAAACTCCTGTTAGGAGGAATTGTTTCTCACCTTGGTATAGTCCAGAAGCTATTAAAAACTGTAAATCAAAAAAAAAAGCACTCCTCCCAAAATGTAGACACTTTGGGCAATTGCCAGTCAATAACTGCCAAGAAAAATGATGTTTAGTTTTCCTTTCTGCTCCCCCGGTGGTTGCTCCTACCCCAGGCCAATGACCAGAAATTTCCCCCAAAGAAATACCAGCTATCCATCACATACATACACACACAAGCCGAGTTCTGGAACGAGAGTACAGAAAATTGTCTTAGCAAAGTGAAATTTAACAGTCTCAAAGGTCTTCCAAGCTCTGAAGCTGAAAGCAAGCTTAAATTGAATAGCTATCAGGTTGTTTTCCAGCTCTTTCTTTCAGTCAGTATTGTAAAATACAATGGGAATGGGATCAGAGAAAGCACCACCCTGCAAAGTAAAGTTTGTTGGCTTGTGCCCCTGACACAAAGCTATGAATAGAACACAGTTCCTCGGGGACCGCAGTGCTACTGTGCCAGATGTTGGCATATAGTGATACAATTTTATATGTGTCACTATACACAGTGATGGTTTTATGCATATTACTGTAGAGGGGAACACCCTTTGCATCTTTGCTGTCATAATAAACCCCAGCTTAAAATATTTTTACATTTATAGTTCAGGCTCACAAAGCAATATCCTGGGCTCTTCTTCCTCTTCCACAGTGCCCCATTGCTCTGTATCTGTAGCAAGCCAAGCTGAGCTATGAGAAAATTCAGCTCTGTACTATACACTCGCATAACCATCCCAACACCCAAAATAAAGAAATAAATATAAGGCACAATTTAACAGGAGCTGAAAAAATCAGAAGGACAACAAAATCACACAGGAAGATGTATTAGGAGGTCTAAAGGATGCATAAAATCAGCTAAATTTTTTCCAGCTCTATGGATTAACCAGCTAACCAATTCGGTAAAGCAGCTGCTAAGGCAAATGTGACCTACATCTTCATCTCCAAAATGAAAGCCTGTTGCTTTGCCACATAGCACCACTCCTTTCAGATAAACTCAAAACATCTTGCACCATCTTACTCTTTCACATTTCTAGTATTTATTTTCCAGTGGTAAGAAACAGCCCTCTTTTATTGAGGTGAATGTGTTTTTCAAAAATACAATTCTGCTTTTTAGTCAAAAGATTTATTACTGCAGCTTTAGAGAAGCACCTTCTAGTTCGTTATTTAGCTAAAGACAATGCTGTCCTCATTGTTACAGATGTGCTGTTGCCTTGATACCTCATGAAAAATTTGGAAGTAGTGTAAACATATATTTTGCTTTATAAACAAAGCCTTCCATCTTTTCCACATGCACCGAGTGAAACTGAAAAACTTCACTTGCATTTTTGCCCAAGACCACATGAAAAAGGAGTGTAAAGAGACTAAACAGCCTTGGAAGATGTTGCAAAAAAAAGAGAAAAATAAATGTCCAAAAAAAGCAATAAAGAGCACTATGTCATTTGAAGAGACTAACAGATGTCCAAGGATTTAATAAAGAAAGGTTTGTGTATACTCAGTAAACTAAATCAGCACAAAGCTTTAGAATGCAAATGCAGACTGCTTCTTTTAAATGAAATGCATCATAATTAGTCCAATTTGTTTAATTAATCACTTGTTGAAATAATTTTGAGATCAACTGGTGTAATGATATGCATATATAATACAGATAGCACATAAGGGCCAAAAATTCATTGTGTGTTTATCTCTGTTTCTTTAGTAGATTTGTTTATACTTACATGTGCAATCATAGAAAACAATCAGGTTAAGGGAGGCTTGGAGGTCATCTAATACAACCACCTGCTGAAATAGCAGTAACTTCAGGGTTAGGTCAAGCTGCCCAGAGCTTTGTCCAGCTGAGTTTTGAGCACCTCTGAAGATGGAGATCCCACCAGCATTCTGGCCAACATGTTCCAGTGCTTAACCTCTCACTGGGAAGATTTTTTGTTCTATTTATCTAGACATGTTCTCCCTTGCTGTGGTTTGTCTTCATTGCAGCTTATCCTTTCCTTTTGCACCTCTGAGAAGAGTCTGGCCCTGGCTTCTTCATAACCCATTTGCCAGCTTACGACTGCAGGTAGGCCCTCACTTTTCCAGGATGAACAAACCTCAGCCTCTCATCATACATCATGTATGCCATAGGCTTCACAGCACGCGTAGTATTTCATGTGTGCCCAACACTTTACCTACAGAGGCTGGCTATATTCTGTGAAGAAAAGCATCTCCAGAAGACATTTTAGAGTACCTATGCCAAACACTTATACAACTATTACATATACCCCAAATCATACTACTTATCTCTGTAGTGCAGCCTAGCCTCCTAATTTGGGCATCTAAAGGGTCTGACAGTCAGAAACTCATGTCCACATTCCCACCACCTAGTAGTGAACTCCTCAGGCAGTTATAAGATTAGTTGGTTACAGGAATGCAAAAAAGGATATGTAAAATTATTTATCTTTATGCATAAAGGCAACTGCAAGCAATACAGGCATACATTCTGTGGCCATATATACACACACATTCAGTTTACAGTGTACTCAGATATACACAGTGTACTGCAAAAAGTGCAGTGTGCAAGCCAGAGTAATACATGATGTTTTGCATAATAGTATAAATTGCTTTCAGCATGAATCTGTAACATCTTAACCCAAACCATGCCCTCTGATCTCTCACTGTAAAGACTCTTGTGGAAATACCAGACTTTTGAGCATCTATGCACTTTCATTTAATGTAGAAAGAAAAAAGCCACATCCAAAATCAGATCATTTATCAGATCCTCAATCAACCCTGACCTTCTACTGTACAGAGCACCACTGATTCCAACCTGATGAATAAGAACCTTTGAGAACTAAAGATCCAGTATCTCCTAGCCTCACTCAGTGATCCCACCTCTCTTATGTGCAGAAGGAAATATGACGGTGATTATAACTGATATCACTTGATATATATATTTATTTATTTCTATTTGTGTGTTTTTTCCTTAGGGGAATCTTGAAACAAAAAATCCCATTAACAAAGTGAGATGTGCTTATAAAGGATAGCTGGTGATGTCTGGAAAAACTTTTTCTAAATAACAGATTTAGTTTTCTGGTTCAATATTAAATACAGCAGTGGCATAAAAACTTTCAACAACATGTCTTGAAGTCTTCATGTTCAAGCCATGAACATCTAATGAGATTTATTCAAACTTCAATTCTATTGTTTTCTTATTTTATTTCAATATTTATATAAATCAATTACACATTCTGTATTTATTTAAAAGGATAATTACATTTTAACATATTAACTAAAAATCTGGAGGAGCATCCCTTTACAGGAAGAACATTTAACTCTAGGAAATATTCGGTTATAATTATCAGGACAACAAAAGGAAAATAATATGTCAAACAGCAATTACAATTTCACATCCTGGCATCCAAGATAAGAACAGCAGCCCTTCATTCCTAATATGCCAGGTGCTTGCCTCAGATGTCATTCTTTGGTAACTGATGACAATCATAACAAAACCCGAACCACATTAATATCACATAGAACATAAATGAAATAAATTGGATTTGATTGTATAAATACATAATTTTCCTTCTTAATTTATTGTATTTTTTTTCAGTAGGCCAGGTCCAAATTTCCATAAAAGAAGTGCCTGATCAATAAAGCAAAGTCTGCTGTGTTTACAGTTAGCCTGAATCAGTATTTCGTGCAACTAGGGCAAGCAACCTGTTAAACCACCAGATAAAAAGGACATACAGCCCTTCACATCTGTTTTGCCTAGAGGTTAATGCTGTCTACGAGTTCAAACCTATAAGAAAAGGGGAGAACAAGTGGGTAAATCCTCAGTTTTGGGAAACTGGCATCTTTACGCATTAGGTAACATCTTAGCAGAAAATTGAGTCTAATATTTTTACTTTGGTGCCTACATTATTTAGACCTCTATCACTTCCATGAGAACACCATGGGTCTCCTTTCTGCACTTAAACATAAATTATCTGGATTTTTTTCTCATTTCAAACAGAAAAGTCCTCTGGTGTGCAACAGAAATTTTCTGTCACATGCCTCAACTTGAATTTTCTTGTTTCAATCATCTCATGCAGAATCAAAGGCAGCTAACCTTACATATTTATGTCTACACCTACACTTGTTATTTAGTCACCTATTTCTGAAGTGCACTTCAGAAGGAGATTTACAGCCCAGAAATACTTATAAATTATAAAGGAAGTGGAAGGTGATGACATCAGGTTTAGATGCCTGTATTTTAAATATAAACTAAACCACAACAAACGTGGCCACATTTTTGCCATAATTTCCTCTTTATTTTGTCATTGCCAAAAAAGGGAGGCATAGATTTACAAGCATTGCCTTTGCATTCCCTTATGTGTGGCTGCAGCTACTCAGTGGCTTGTAACCAGAGCTTTAAGACCTGCCATCACGTAGTTCAAAACTGCTCTGATCACTCCTCGCATCAGCTGTACATAGTGTATGAGCTACTTACTGCATTAAGTGACTGAGTCCTACCTATACCCATTCAATAGCTTTTCCTGCTTCCATCCATACTTGGTGGTTCTGCCTGCATCTATATTGACAGCCCCCTTTTCAATTGCTGCTGTCTCAAAATGAAAACATCAGTAGTGACAACAAGCAGCATTTAACCACATGCAGGAAGCAACTGCAATTACCCGAGGGACAGCGAAGCACACCACTTACCAGAATTGAGCAGGATGATGGACTTAAGGCACACAAATTCCTCCCCTTGAAGGTTCATCATGCGAAACCGAGCAGCAGTAGCCAGCAGCATGTCAAAGATTTCCACCATGCCCTCTACACATTTCCCTTGATTCCTGTGTGAATACCATCAAGGGGGAGATATTCACAGCTTTAACCTGGTGGCAGCATGATCTTTTCATTCCCCTGGATCATTCCTCTCCAATGTGATTTCATCAATTCACTAGCTAGTACCAGACTTCCTACTCTATGCTTATTTGGTGTATGTGTGATTACAAAGCATAGGTCCCAGTATCCCACACAAAATTAATAAGTAAATAATATATTACCCCCCAAAATGTCAATTTCATAAACTCATCACCAAGGCATTACTGGGGAGGAAGGTATGAGATTGATTCAACCAAACATTTACATTGAGGAAAATATTTGTTCAGAACTACATTTTTATGTAGATATGTACGTAAAAAACATTACTTGGTTTCCTCTTCCTAATTTTTTTTTCCTTTAACTGAAATAGTCCAAATACTTTGCATTTTTCTCTCCCTAATATTTTGTACTTGTTTCTACCTGACCTTGCAAGCTGTAATGTTCCAGAATGCATCTCCCATTTTTCTTAATGTCTCCTTAAAAAATAAGCTTATTCATGAGCTCAGGAAGGACTTATGAGGCCAAAATCTTGTCTGTATGACTGAGTCTAATCAAAACTAACATTTCATTCCACAAATCAGATAACTTTTTACATTACAGCATTAAACAAAGCTAAAGTCTACGAAATCTCAAAGCTTTCACTAGTAATGGCAATTAACCTCCTCCGTTTGCTCACGATACTAGGTATTCTTGCTCACTAAATTTCATTTGGCGCACAAAACCTGAAGTTCAACAATTAATGCAGATTGTAATTATTTTTTTATGAAAGTTTAGCCTGCACATTTTCTTGTCATTGATTTTAGATTATTTACATTGCTACCTTTTACAAAAACGTACCTACCTAGTTTTACTTTTATTAGGACTTCCTAAGTGAATTTTTACCATGTAAGACTTAATCTGATCACTTAAAAAGTGCTGTTTAAAGATATATTGAGTTTTAGCTATAGCTTTTATGAAATTTTGAAAATCATTGCTATAGGAAAATGCAAAAGAAATTTCAAATTATCAGACAACTATTCCACTATAATTTGTAACACAAACACAGATTGAGCATCTCCCAGTCTAACACTACCAGCATAGGCACACATGCCTCAGTCCTGATACAGTCATACTGTTGAGACTCTGTAGCTAATGTCTAAACCCACACCAGACCCTCAGACAAAGCAGTCATATGCCTTTCTGACTACAGCCTGAGAAAATTCTTTGCACTTTTCAATCATGTTTAAACCTAAAACTGAGTCAAAGAAAGAAAGAAAGAGGTTGTCTGTGAGCACTTGTGCACCAATCTTCTCTCAAGTTCAAATCCTTATTCAGCTTCATTCAGTGCTTGGAATTAGATCTCTATCTATCTCCCTCATCCCAGAGCAGTGCCTATAAGCCAGTGATTTTGGCATATGACAGAAGCTATATTTCACCTGTTTTCAGAGATACTTAAACAAAGTGAAAAAATATCAAGAAAACAAAGTGAGAGATACACCCTGAAAAAAGCCAGTAGGGTGTTGGTTAAAATACAGTAGCATTTGAAAATAAGGTGTCCCAAGCAAGATTTCCAGTCACTGTTACAACAGCATATGTTCTCTGACTTCTCTGTGAGAAAGACATGATCCAGCCTTGGAAATGGAAATAGTACGTAAGTTTATTTAATAAGGAGGGTGGGTTGCTTCTTCTTGCCTTAGATCCCTATGGGTTACCAGGCAGCTGCCTGCTGAGCTCTCCTGAAGTGCCTCACTTTATGCCCCATTAAAGGTTAGTTTAAGAATTTAGGATTCCAGGATTACACAGAAATGAAAAGTTTCAGTGAATAATATGGCAAGTGGCCTATATTAAGAAAACCCTACATTTTCGTGTCTGGCTAAGACATTTACTTGCTTCCTAAAACCTATTAAACCACTGCGAGCCAGTATTCACAACAGTTCAAAATAATACATAGTCTGAACAAATTGCAAAATTTGCATAGCCAAGACCACAATTTAAAAACAAAATAATAAGTTATTTGTAAAATGAGACCTTTTCAAATGTCTAATGGTGACTCATAGGATGGAAAAGATATTTTGATAGCAAGTAAGAATTAACCCCAACTTTTTACAAAAATAGTTCAATGGACTGTGATTTACAAGATCAATATTCCAGTCAAGATCCTCTTGTTGACAAGCACAACCTCTGGACAAAAATCTCTAGTCCTGCAACACATAGTTCATATGCCTAAGTCTCCATGTGTGTCTATTTCCCACCAACCGAACTCATATGGTAGATGAGACATAAAAATGGAATTTAAGAGAATCTAAATACTTCCTAACCTCATTTGCTTTGCTATCTACTGTGTGAGAAATACCAGGGTACTCTATAAGAAAAAGAAGAGTGTTTCTTTAGGTAGAGTTAAGAATGTCAGCTGAAGTTAGATACCTAGCTTTAGGTATTCCTGTGTGTAAGTAACAATTAGGAAATTTCTGCTTTATTTTCAGATTTACACAGCGGATCCTGCTCCAATAAAATCAATGGGAACTACAGGAGTTTAATATCTTTGAAGTAGAGGCTTCTAACTGATTTTTTTTTATATGTATCTAGGCTACAATACTGATTTTCCTTGTTAACCAACGAAAACTATCTGAAATGGGAATCTCCAGTTTTCCCAAACTGCCTTCTAACATGAACTGATAGTATTATCACATTTTCACAGCTATATGTCCAGTTGATAAGAAGGCTGATCTAAGAAGACCTAGATAACTTTCCTGGAGGACAAATTAAGCAATAGATTTGAAAATTATCCTTATCCCACCATCATGCTGTTGTCTTTGTGTACTCTCTGCTTACTGAAAATGAAACAATAAAAGCTTGTTTACTGCAAAGCTTCAGAGTGTATTCTCAGAAAAGTCCTCAACACTTGGCTATTGGAAAACGTTCAGCAAAGTTAAAGGGTGTGAATTAATGTCTTCAGTTACTGCACAAAAGTACTATGTGCATTAACTTTGGTAAGTCTACAGAATCACAGCACCCTAAAGGCTGGAAGGTAACTCAGGATGTCTTTAGTGCAACCTCCATTCAAAGCAGAGTAAGCTCACTCAAGGCTTTATGCAAGTCTGGTCTTGAAAACCTCCAAGGATGGAGTTTGCACAGCCTCTTTCAGCTTAATTATTTTCAACATCATGTGTTTTTTTCTTCTCTATATCCAGTCAGAACCTCCTTTGTTTCAATTTATGTCTCCTGTTTCTCAGTCTCCCATCAACACCTTAATAAAGAGCCTTGATAACCTCCTGCAGATCTTAGATCAGTCATGCTCAAAATCCATCTCTTCCCCAAGCTGAACAAATCCATTTCTCTCAGCCACAAGGCATGTGCTCCTACCTTGGGGCTTCTCCACTAGGTTTACTGGAGTCTATTAATAGCTTTCCTGCAGTGAGGGGTGCAAAGCTCAATGTGGTATTCCAGATATGGTCTAATGACTACTAAATAAAAGCAGAAAAATCACTTGCTTTACTGCCTAATACACTAATACAGCCCCAGGTACTGCTGGACTTCATTGCTGATATTTTTGGTACAGATTGCTGTTCACCAGCACCCCAGGTCCCTTTAAAGCAGAGTTGTTCCCCAGCTATTTAGGTCCCAGCTTTAACAGTAGCAATGGATTAAGTATATTACAGGTGAAGGTGCATTTCTTATACCTGAATTACGTGAGGTTCCTATCAGTTCATTCCTCCAGCCTGTCTAGATCTATCTGTATGGCACCTCTGCCCTCGAGCATATCAACTGCAGCCCCTATTTTGGTGTCATGTGCAGATTCGAAGACAGTGCATTTCATCCCCTCCTCCTGGTCATTGATAAAGTGTCCTGGTTTCAGGAAGTAGGCACAGATGCACTGGTCAAACCAAAGCCTAACTGGGTTGTCTCTCTGGCTTCTCTGGTTTCTTTGATCATGGTACTTCATTTGATAACAAGGCATTGCAAAGAATGGATGGTATCCACCAGACTAGGAGAGGGAAGGTCATCTTCACAAATGGACTTACCTAGTAACTTGGTGATGAAGCCTCTAAAGAAGGCTTGCCACAGAATGTGTTCCAAAGCATAAAGGCAGGTTAGGAAATAGGGAAGGTATGATTCACAGAAAGCTGCAGGGACAACTTTCACATCCCCTGTTAGAAGGGAGTGTTGCTACAAACTGTCTGTCCAAGAGTATAAGGTGGATATGTCTTTCTAGAAAAGATTCTTATTAATAATAATTGTAATAATAATTATTATTATATTCTATAATATAAATAGAAGTCTCCCAATCACTGGTCTACAGTCTTGTGGAGGATATTTACATAGATGGACTGCAAACATTGGCTGGAAGGTCAACATAGCATTGTGCAAGTAATCCAGGATTTTCCAAACTGTATTGATGATAACTTCCCAATGCAAACAGCACAGTGGCCAAACAAGGGCAATGCTCTATTGACCCGTTCCTCACAAACAATGAGAAATTGCTGGTGAATGTGGCCACAGATGATAGGAAATTTGGCTGTAGCAACCATGAAGTGTGATTGGACTCAAGATCCAGAGCTAGACTGGAAATGCAAACAACCAAACTATAACTCTGGGTTTCAGAAGAACAGACTGCAGCTTATTTAGTGATTTTTTAGGCAGAATATTCTTGGAGACATGGTGGGGAAAAGTGTCAAGCTAACTAGCAATATTTTAAGGAAAACTTAAGAGAGCTGGGGAACAAGCTCATCCGATCATAGAGGAAGACCAGGTATTTCAACAGAAGATCCACTTGGCTAAACAAGCAGTCCCTTATTGAATTAAAAGGCAAAAGAATATATAAAAAACAGAAATAAAAGCAGGCGGCAAAGGAGGAGTACCAGAACACTGTGAGCATTTATGAGTGAGGCCTAAAACTAAGGAAGGCCACAGAGGGTATTAGGAAGGGATTGTACAAGTATGGCATCAACAGATGGAATTTCAGTTGATGAATGGGGGAGAAAACCTGGTG